TTGCTTCATGTATCTGGGTGCTCTTTCTTTGGGAGCATAGATATTTGATTATGTCATCTTGCTCAATTGACCCTTTGATTATGAGATAGTGTCCTTTTTTGTCTCTTATGCTGGTTTTTATCTTAAAGTTTACTTTGTCGGAGATTACTATTGCCACTCCTGCTTGTTTATTGTTTCAGTTTGCTTGGTAAATTTTTTCCATCCTTTAACCTTCAGTATGTTTTTGTCTTTGTCTATAAGGTATGTCTCTTGCAGGCAGCATATAGAAGGGTCTTGTGTTCTTATCCATTCTGCCACTCTCTGTCTCTTCACTGGTGCATTCAATCCATTGACATTCAATGTAATTATCAATAGATATGAATTAATTATTGCCATTATGTTACTTTTTGGTAGTGCCGTTCGTTCTTTTGTTCTGCATGCCTTCTTGTGTTGGGTTTGTGTTGTTTTTTTGTGTGTGCTATTTCTTGTTGGTTTCTTCTTAGTTTTCATGTTTGCTTGTTCTGCTTGGTAGTTCATTTTCATGGTAAGTTGTGAAGTATTTACTTTCTTTGGGGTTAGAACAGAACAGGGGATACTGGGTGACTTAAAATCAGGAAAGGTGTGCACCAGAGTTGTATTCTTTCTCCATTCTTTTTCAATCTGTATGGTGAAAGAATTATTCAAGAAGCTGGGGATGAACAACTTGCGATATGCAGTTGATGCAACCTTATTTGTTGAAAGTGAAGAGGACTTAAAATACTTACTGATTAAGATCAAAGACTACAGCCTTCAGCATGGGTTGCACCTCAATGTAAAAACAAAAATCCTCACAACTGGACCAATAAATAACATCATGATAAAAAGGAGAAAAGATTGAAGTTGTCAAAGACTTCATTTTGCTTGGATCCACAATCAACACTAACAGAAGCAGCAGTAAATAAATCAAACGATTGATTCCATAGGTAAATCTGGACAAGATCTCTTTAATGTGTTCAAGAGCAAAGTCTGGGGCCTGACCTAAGCCATGGTATTTTCAGTTGTCTCATATACATGTGAATGTTTGTCAAAGAATAAGACAGACCACAGAAGAACTGATGCATTAGAAATGTGGTATTGGGTAAATATTAAAAGTAGCATGTATGGCCAGAAGACCTAACAAATCTGTTAGAAGTACAGTCAGAATGCTCAATAGAAGTCAGGATGGCAAGACTTCATCTCTCATACTTAAGACATGTTATCAGGAAAGACCAGTCCCTGGAGAAGGACATCATGCTTGGTAAAGTGGAGAATCAATGAAAAAGAAGAAGACCCCAACAAGATGGAGTAATACAGTGGCAGCAGCTCTAAGCTTATATGTAACAATTGTGAGGATGGCACAGGACCAAGTAACGTTTCATTTCATTGTGCATAAGTTCCCCATGAGCTAGAACCAATCTGACAGCACCTAACAACAACAACAACTAGTGTATGTATAACTTTATCAAATTCTTTCTAAATCATGTTTTTATTGGATACTGGTTTCATAGTTTATATCCAAGAACTCATATTGTATGAACGGTTAGCTTATTTATATATAGGCAGTGGCTAGGAATTTGTTGATAAGTCGTAACAGGTGCATTTGGTTCTTAGTTAGCTTTAATTTAGTGCAAGCAAAGTCTCCATGCTTTGTCCATGATTTAAAAGTTGCACATGCAGCAAGTGAAGGTGGTTATGATAAAGAATTTGTTGTTTGAAGTTGAGGGCAAATTTACATAACCTTAAAGGGCAAGTAGGAGCTGTTACTATGTCAGACGTTCATAACCTTGGAACTTACTGCAATTTTTTTTTTTTTCTTGTATGCCAAGGCATCTTCATTTAAGCTGATCCCAAACTGTGCTGCCCTATGATTTGGGGCTTGTGCCAGGACTTAGGTGCCCTGGTGGTACAGTCCTTTAAAAGATGTGGCAGCCTGTTAACACAGAGATTACAAAGACTTAGAAGCTCTATGAACAGTTCTACTGTGTCTGATAGAGTTGCTATGAGTTGGAATCAGGTAGATGTTAAGAGGCTTGTGAGTTTTTTTGTTTGGTTGGTTTTTTCCAGAAAAACTATTTAGACCCATTTGTATGAGACAACAAAAAGGATATCCTGAGAAAGAATCCCTCTTAAGTAGCATCCACAACCTAGTCCATGCCTGCTTGGAAACACAGGGTCAACATGGAGAAAGTCATGCTATGTGTCATTTGTACCACTCTCTGATTCAACCCTTATAAACATATGTGTGAGCTCTGAGGAGAGGAAGTCAATTTGTAGTTTGTTTTGTTGTTTTAATGTCAGGCATTAGTAGCACAAACCAGCAGACTACTATTTGGGAAATGCTGACTCCTCTTAGTCTTCACATGCTATCCCATGTATGTACGACAACCCATGAGGCTTTGTAGTCTGTGAGGCCTCAGCTATGAGACCCAAGGAAACCACACACCTAGATTACTGAGCACAGTATGAGCCCAGTAGTGGAATCTCTCCAACACCTTTCCTCTGTGGGACCCTTGCTCTCACCTCTTCTTACACAATTTCCCTGCAGGGCACTACAACTGGAATGCTATAATGTTGAAGCTTACCTTCTAATCTCAAGCAGTAGCAGAAATCCACTTTGCCAGAGGCATTTAAGGACCATTTTGATTATTTCTTTCACATTCTTGGGCCCCTAATCCACGCAGGAGAGCTGTGTCCTTCTTTCCTTTTTCTTATATTGGACAGAATGTGTGGGTTCTTCAAGGTGTTTCTCCTGGAGTACCTGTATGTTTGTTTTTTATGTTATCTTCATACAATGGTTTTAATGCTTTTTAAAAACAGCAAGTATGAAATCATCTTCTTAAATTATTTTTATCATTGGTCACCAGAAACTATGTGGAAATACTGTTTACATATGTGATCACAAAACTCCTTCATCTTTTTTTTTTTAATTGAAACCCTAGAGCATTTTCTTAAGAGCATATGTTGTTTGGTGATAATGAGTAGCTAACAACCTAAACATAAATTATTATACTTCTGCTGTTTTTTTACAAAGTTTCTTCTATTTAAGTAAATGCTGTGGAGAAACCTAAAACAAAAACTCTTTAATCTTGTGCCTTTGAAATCTTGAATGTAGTCCTGATTACTTGTGATCTGTTCAAAGACTCTCTTCAAAA